AAGTGCAAAGTGATGCTACAAGATTAGATGTCGTCTACGCAGGCGCAGGTGCTTGATAGACAATAATTAGCTATAGTGGAATGTTTCACCTACTTAGGTAGCTGCGTGAAAAATGACGATAGTCTAGTCAAGGAAGTAACTGCCTGCATTTTCAAGGCACGAGCAGCTTAGGCAGAAGCGATGTTTCGTTGAAATTGAAAGGTCGTGTATACTGTGCCAGTGTGCGGTCAGTTCTCCCGAACGGTTGTGAGACCATTAATTTGCACGTTGAAGATGTTCGTCGTCTACAAGTCTTCGATAGCCGATGTAGTAGTTTGGCGAGGGTTGGATGGAACGAACCTATTTGGTAATGATTCGATGGAGAATTCGTTGTTTCATCGAATTCAGATCAGTTGGTTTCGCTGATCAGGACACGTATTGCGCATGCCCAGCTATCGTTCACCGCACCGCACCCTACTAGCAGTTTCGGTTCCAGGTTGAGAGAAACTACGTGGAGATCGACCGATGACGTGGAAACGAGGCATGAAGAAATGCACAGAGCGACTAGGTAGAATGGGTGCTTCCCGTCTTTCAGTTCGGGGTCCAAAAGACTCTAACAGGCTGGTTGGAGACGCTGAATGATACGGCAGCGAACCGACAAGTGGTGTTCTTGTTGTCATATGTAATCAGGTCAGAATGCTTGAAACGTTATAGATGCACAGCTAGACTTTGTACTAGGTGTTTTGGATCAGTTCAGTTCATTAACCATGCACCTTCGTGCGCCAGTTTTGATCACAGTTCATTTTCTTTTCTGTCCTCCAATTAGGCCCAAACTTTCTCTACCTTATGTTTGATCACTCAACTCATGTACATTGTGGGTTTGGGAGCGATCAGCGAAGTTCGCTTCACTGTATCTAGCTGTACGATGAGGATGGTGATGTTGATGGGACTCACATAAACCATTAGGATAAGTGGTATCATTTTCACATTCATGATCAAATGCATCTTTGCCAGCTTCTCGTGACGGGGAAAGAATGTTTTTATACCTACCAGACTTTCACTATCTACACTTTAATTTACAAAGCTCGGATTCTAACGGCACTTGAATAATGAAATTATGCACGTGGTAAATGTTCGTCCACTTCCCGAAAGAAGTGACATTCACGCACGTGTACATTCTTTCTTCAGAATTATGTATGTTTCTTTCTCTTTGGACCCCTTTAAGCTTTCAATTAATTGAACACTTGTTCTCAGTGGTAGACGAGATGATCAGGCGAAACTGGAACATGGAACGGCAAAGTTGCATTGATTGAAAACTGAATACATCTCGCTACTGATCCGAACTTGAAGTGTAAGCTGCAATGATTAGCGAACCGTGGTGGTTGAACAGGTTCCCTAACGCGTAATCAAGATAAGCGGTGTTTGCTTGTCTGTCAACTACTGTGGCGGTGCGACATATCTCGTTCAGTGAAAGAGGACAACAGTATATACTGTATTGTTCTACGACTCGCCGATCACATTACGGTCAACCACTGATTGTGACAACTTTCTGTGTAGCCCGTGTGTTGAGAGTATTGCACGAGTAACAATGGTCGGACGTGCTACGAATGGATCCCTCCAGTAAGCAAGTTGTCACTGCACTCCTGAGGTTGGCCAGAGCCATTGCGGGATACGGCCTATGATAGAAGACAATGGTGCGAATGCATCATTACATGGTTGCAAACCCAGCAGTAACGCCCAGGAAGTGCAGAAATGGAATTCCGTACAATCAGGAAAATAGTTTACTACCCTCTATAATAATTCGATCGTTCCCTTTTTAACAAGTCGTGGTCAATATATGGGACCCTAGCTGTTGATCTGTGTGGATATATACATCTGCGTAATAACCAGGCAATTGCTTCTTCTTTCTATTCTAATGCTATTTTGTTTTTTGTCCAATCAAATTCACTTCTAATGTCCCCCATTCACTTGTTTCATTATTCTTTCTTTTACTTCTTTTTACTGATCATGCAGTACGTCGAATAGAGGCTCGATCACTCATATAATCATCTGATCGGAAGCGATTGTGTGGCTGACAGGTCGAGACCATTCGAGCAAAAAGCGACCACAATACAACATTGCATACATTCAAGTGTCCCAGTCGTGTCTGCGAGATTGGGGTCACCGACCCGTCTGGGTGTCAGGTGAATGTGCCTATTGGTGAGGGATAAGAGTCCACTTCGAAAGCTCTGGTCGCGACTGCATTACAGCACCTGAGTATGGGAATCAGAAATAAGGCACGGCAGCAATACTTGCCATCGAATGATTGCCCCGGGCGTCATCGTATTTCGCTGGGGCATTGGGGAGGGCTGGAGAATGAAATTAAATAGGCGGCGCACTATCCATGAATCATAGTGTGACTGAAGCAGCCATGACATAATCGCCTTTATTCTCACGCCGATAACAAAACAACCTCTCAACCGCCAAAGTCGAATGCGACTGTTCGGGTGGCTGATATTGTCGCATAAGGATTGGCGAACAGTTTGCCAACAATGTTACTCGCTGCAATCATTCGATGCCGATTCGAAATCTTACTACCTTGCCTTATTTGCTCGAATGGTCGGGGTCGCAAAATACTATGCAGAACGCTTGCGACTGGATTACCTGAGTGAACTTCGGGCGTCCAATCTCAGACACGATCAGTCACTAGCACCAAATGGCTATCCCCAGGAGCTGACATCCACTACCTTTGTCCTCAGCTGAGAAACCGCGAGCACTATCCTTATCTGGTTTGATCTTTCTTGCTTTTCGGTAGTTCTGGTGTTCGTTATATCATCCCACAGATAGCATGTTATCGGAATATGGGGTAGATTACTTTCAGTGCAGCGGCCTAACGTGTAATGGAGTGACACAAAATATGGCGAGAAAGTAACCAAAACGAGTTCGACAGTTTCTATACTTACAAGGCGCCCGCGACCCTTGACTTTTCTCCCTGAATGATCACTATGCTTCTTCTCACGCTTTGCGCGAAGTAGTTCTCTACCGACGGCGGCGATGTGTCTAAAATGAAAAACACAGTAATGAACTTGAGCACTGATTGTGATTACCGTGTACCTATTAGATAATTCAAGTTACAGTCCAACTAGCCAATTAGTGCAATATAATTTCCTCAGTTACATATAGTGGAGTGTTGGATACTACGACTAACTGGGGAATAATGCAATGCAGCAGTAACCCTACAAAACAGTAAAGTTGTTTATCGCCACTTCTATAAACAACTAAAAGACAGGCGTCATAACTGCTCTAAAGGTATGGCTAATAGCAGTTTAAACTGAAAATGCAATTGATACACATTGATTTGTGGGGGAAAAACGAGAGAGTTAAATAAGTTTTAGTGAAATAAATGATCTTGCAGTCCTGCACTCTATAAAGGAGACGAAACTGAAAACGTATGCTACAACTGTCAGTCCAAATGAGTAAATCACACCTAGTGTATAAAATCTTGATTAGGCATCATGAATAAGGCTGAAACACATATCACACGGAAATGGCTGATAGCCCAAACCAGACAAATGAAACAGTTAAAGTTAGGAATAATACATTTGGTATACGATCCAATTTGGGCTCAACTTTACGTGACCTTATCGTTGCAACATGAAAGCTTAGGCTTATAGCGTAGCTTCTTCAATTACAGGTCACGCAGTTATCACAAGCGCGCTGTATACTACGATAAACCGTTCGTCGGTGATTACAAAACCAATATAGCACTCACCTGACAAGAGCACCGACTCACGTTTGACAGCGACAACAGCAGTACAGATGAACTATGAAAATTACGGCCAAAAAATTTCACTCTATGTATTGTAGAATCAGCGGCAGGTGCGAGATAAGAGATTACTGAATACCTACTATTACTGTCCGAACGCTGGAACCGACTTGCAGGTGAGGTAAAAAAATTCACCTAACAAGGTGATGGTTTTATCTACATCGAATTTCACAATCATACTGGATACATAGGGAACCACAACAATCGCAATTCAAAAACAGCATATTGTTTTAGTAAAACTTAGTTGCAACCCTAGGATTCCGATCAAAAACTAAGTTTAAGAAAACCACAAGTGGGTTAGCAAATGCGAAGCGAAGAATAACCAATCATGAGGCTGCAAACCGGTCACGGTTAAGAAACTGCATGCACAATACAGCTTGAACTTATCGCTGAACTTACTTAATAAGGTCAACATCGTTATTCAAAAGTTCCAGAACGCTGGGGTGATTTAGTTTTTTGTGCCTAATCAATCGAATTTCAAATAAAGTGTACTTGACTCAATGCCAAACAATAAGTACAAGAACAAACATAGGGGATGAGGAATGAACCTGAGCAATAGCAATAATTTTCATCGCGACCGTGGCATGCATAAGACTTGGTCCCCCCGTTCAGGTCTACGTAAGATACAAAAACGTACCTGAACTGCACCATGTTTATTTCATTTTCACTAGTTACATTCTCATTTCATTTTGATCACTTCAAAGCCTGAAAGGCACAAGTGTATGAAACAACTAACAAAACGTTATTCATCAGATAACAGACTAAACCCAGAAATCCTAAGCTAAAAACCCAGAAATTCAATTCTTATGCTGAAGAGCTGAGGACATACTTGGTTTCTTCTTCGTTCATCTTTGATGCTTCTTGCTTGTCGGCTGCCAAGTTTCCACGATAGAGAAATTTCGGGAGGGGTACTTCGGGTATTTCTTCTGCTCTAACACTGCATTCAACTTCGTCACTGAAAAAATGAAAGACGGTTCAAAAAATGATACCTTTCAGATTCATCCCCTGAACTCTTCGTGGCTTTCTTTTTCTTCTTCTTCTCTTTTTTGCTCTTCTTTTTTGCTTTTTTCTCTTCTTCTTGATCGGATTTGGTCTTTTTCTTCTTGACTTTTTGCCAACATTATTGACCAACAAGCACTTACCAGGTATCAACTCACCGCAGGCTTCGATCGCAATAGGTTTGACAGGGCGATGAGTTTTCGTATCTGCTATAGGAACCGCTTCTATCTTTCGGACGACGTCCTGCCCTGACAAGACATGGCCGAAAACCATGTGTTTTCCGTCAAGATGAGGCGCTGGCGCAGTGGTACTATGGAGTATTATAAGAATGATCTATCTTCAGACTTACATAAAAAACTGGGATCCGTTGGTGTTGGGTCCTCTATTGGCCATTGACAACAAAAACGGACGATCATGAGGAGTCGACAAGCACTCGTCTGCCTTTATACGCTTNCCCGCCATAAATTGATTCCCCACCGGTTCCGTCGCTGTTACTGAAATCCCCCCCTTGAACCATGAACCCCTTGATCACTCGATGAAAGATACTTCCTTGATAGTGTAATGCTTTTCCGGTTTTTAGGCCGAAACCACAACCACCTAACATATGTAAGCATGGAAAAGTAAATTACCATGACAAAGCTTCTTGAAGTTTTCCGTTGCCTTCGGACATAAGTCGTTGAACAACTCAAGAACTATCCGTCCGACTAAGAAATTTAGGAATCAGTCTCAAATCTCACTTGGATCTCCATCAATGCTTATATCCAAAAAA